TACATAAGTTCAAATTTTCTCTAAATTTTTTTTTAATAGAAAATCATTAAAAGATGAGTATTATTGATCGGTTTAGAAAAAAATATAACCTATTGTCGCCGTCCCCGAAAAATTAGAAAAATTTAGGCCCCGGTTTCAAAAAAATCGGTTTAGAAAATAATTTAACCCATCGTTGCCATTCCCGAGTATGTTTGTATGTGTGTACCTATGTATTCCACCCGTTGAGGATAATCCAAAAGGACGCATTAAATAACCAATTTTCTTGAAACCGGTTCTAAAATTTTTCTAATTTTTCGGTGATTGCGACAATGGGTTTAATTTCTTGAGACCGGTGCTAAAGTTTTTCACAAAAACAAAGCTTTCTCTTAAAGAAATTAAACCCATCGTTGCAATCCCCAAAAAATTAGAAAAATTTTGGCCCCGGTGTCAAGAAAAACGGTAAAACAAAAATCGAACCCCATCGCCGCCATCCCCAAAAAATTAAAAAAATTTTGACACTTTTTGCAAAAGAATCGAGAAACCCATTAATGAATGAGTAGTTCGCAGTAAGACAGACAGACAGACATTCGACACTTATATATACAGATGAGTGATATTTAATTTCAAAACGATCAGTTTTAAAAATAAAAAAAGACCAACTAAAATAAATTGCAAGTGCATTTAGCTTACATTATGAAATTTAAAAAACACTATAATTAAGTATTTTTTTCTTTAAAACTTTTTGAAATATAAAAGCAAACATACATACATACTAATTAACAAAAATGCTATAAATTCAAAAAAATCACTTTTTAAAAAAGAACCGCCAAATTAAATTGCCCTATAGTACTCCTGAGATTTCAAGGAACATATTGGTATAAATTTTTTCAAAGTTGGTCCAATAGTTTTTAAGTTAATAACGTTCAAACACACACCACCCGTAAGAATTTTATATTATAGTACAGCGATGTATAGATTATGGTATAGATATGAGTTACATACTTGTAGATAAACGTATAAAGATTCCATAGCTGCATTTAAATTAATTGTAAAGCCATTTTATATTAACAGATTTACCTTAGGTGCGCACTATTACCCCACTTTCTCCTAGTAATAATATTAATCTTTATTTGTGAGAAGAACCCTTTAGTATATACAAATGAAAAACTTGCAGCTTACAAGATTAAAATAAAATAGGTATAAAAATAGCAATAAAAAAATTATATCTTTAATGTATATTATGAAAGTAAGCGAATGTGTTTCCGTTTAAATGTAGATGCATTGTCACCAAAGAAATAAACTACGTTAGTATAATTATTTGCCGAGATAATTATCCTATTTAAGCACGAACCCTATATAAAGAGATATAAAGAATTCTTTCTCTATCTCTTTCTCTTTCTTCCTTTCCTTCTCACACTTACTTACAAAAATTCACTCCATTACGGTGAATTAGGTCGGTATTCGTAGTCGGATCTTATTTCAAGACCGTCTTAAATAATGTCTTATGATGCTAATACTCTGTGATTTGTTTATTACATCTTAAGATCGTACTTAAGACGGTCTTAAGTTTAAGATCCGACTATGAATACCGGCCTAAGTATATAATAACATTAAGTAATACGTACAGTTTAGTATTTTAAGAATTATTACTTATTTCTATTTTTAATTACACCACATTTCTATGCAGACCAAGCACTTCAACTTTAGTGGATTATATTATGGATAATTCTGCAGAACGTCAAAGTCAAGACACATCTAGTTTGCCCGTTCAATCATTTAAAGAAATGACAGAAAAAACAGGCGCACTTAATGAGTAATTATTCGTTTTTCTTATCATACAATGTAATGATATATTGATATTTAAATATTTACTTTTTTGCAAAGTAATGATTTACAACGTTAATATTTTACACAATTCCGTTTCTAAATGCACCGTTTTCAATGCAGACCAAGCACTTTAAGTTCAACTGGTACCGATATGGATCCGAATGCAGAACGTCAAAGTCAAGAAACAATTGATTTGGCTCTTCAATCTTGTGAACAATCGAAAAAAGAAACAAGGACATGTGATGGGTAATTATTTGTTTTGTTTACATCATACAATGTAATGATATCTTACTATTGAAATATTTATACTCTTCTGGAAATAAATAATTTATAACGTTAATATTTTAAATAATATCATTTCTAATTGCATCGTATTTCAATGCAGACCAAGCACTTCAAGTTCAACGGGTTATATTATGGATCCTTCTACAGAAAAAAATGTAATTCTGCAACATCAAAACCGGCAGAATCGTTTTCCGGTAATAACATCCGTGCTCTGCGGGAGATTCATCTCCAAGGACGCCCTAGCCAAACTTGGTCGGCTTAAAACAATACACTCTGCTCCGACGACAGAGAACAACCATTTACGTCAAAGTAAAAAACAAGAACCACCTGGTTTGCCTGTTCAATCATTTAAAGAAGCGATAAAAAAAACAAGCGCACTTGATGAGTAATTATTCGTATTGCTTATATCATACAATATAATGATATCTTAATATTTAAATATTTACTCTTTTGCAAAAGAATAATTTACAATGTTAATGTTTCAAATAATTCCTAATCATTTCTAATTGCTCCGTATTTTAATGCAGACCAAGCACTTCAACTGTAGTGGATCATATTACGGATAATTCTGCAAAACGTCAAAGTCAAGATACATCTGACTTGCCCGTTCAACCATTTAAAGAAACTACAGAAACAACAGGCACACTTAATGAGTAATTATTCGCCTTTCTTATATCATGCAATACAATGATATCTCAATATTTAAATTTTTACTCTTTTGCAACAGTAATTTATATAACGTTAATATTTTGAATAATTCCGTTTCTAATGGCACCGTTTTTCAATACAGGCCGAGACCTTCAAGTTCAACGAGTTACGATATAGATCCCAATGCAGAACATCAAAATCAGGAAACAGTTGATTTGGCTCTTCAATCATGTGAGCAATTGAAAAAAGAAACAAAAGCACGTGTTAGGTAATTATTTGTTATGTTTATATTATACAATATAATGATATCTTAATATTGAAATACTTACTCTTCTGCAAAAAAAATAATTTATAATATTAATATATTAAATAATTTTATTTCTAATATTACACGCGTGTATTTCAATGCAGATCAAGCACTTCAATTTCAACGGGTTATAATACAAATTCTACCGCAGAATGTCACAGTCAGGAAACAGTTGATTTGGATCCTCAAACATGTGAACAATCGAGAAAAGAAACAAGGGCATGTGATGGGTAATTATTTGTTTTGCTTAATTGTATCACACAACATAGTAATATCTTATTATTAAAATATTTACTTTTCTGCAAAGAATAATTTATAAGGTTAATATTTTATATAATTCCATTTCTAATTCAACACATTTCGATGCAGAGCAAGCATTTTAAGTTCAACGTGTTATGATACAAATCCTTCTGCAGAACGTTAAAATACTGCAGAACAATACCTTTGCTTTCTTATTGTCCACGTTTTTTATTTGCAAATTAATATATCAAAAGTTTTATATTTTCATGGAGTAATTATAAAAAAAGAAGAAAAATCCGTACAAAACATACTTTTTTTTTTAAAGTTAATAAAATGCGCCAGGTATACGTGCTCCATACACAATCTTTATTGAAAAAATTTTTGATCTAATTTTGTCATATAATTTTAATTGTTTTTCTTGTTACAAAAACAATTATACCCCAAAATTTGCATCAAGTGAATAAGATAAATTAGTAACATTTGATTTTTTAAATAATGTTTCTTTATTATAGTTTCTTTATTATTAGAGGAAGATGGGGCAAAACGGGGTACTTAATGTTTAACCACATAAAATAATTATTAAATATAAAAAAACATCCATTCTTTTCTGCACGGATCCCTTCATTGAACCCTTCTTTACATATGACAATGGTTGAAACTAACAAACATGTACGAATGATTGTTTCAGAAAGCAATCTTTGAAAAATTGTCTTTTGCCCCATTTTGCCCCATAAAATGGCGGGGTAAAATGCGGGATACCTCTATTTACTCGTTCTAAATATTTAATTTCAAAATTGAACCGTCCAAGTAAAGGAACAAAATGTTTATTGTTAGTTGAGACAAACGTATATATTCCATAATTATTTATTTTCACACAAAATACAGATATAAACAATGTTTTTATCTTCATCGTCAATTCTTGCGCAAGAGTTATGTGCCCATCGCGCACAAGCGGCGCAACGAATCCAGCCTTCGTCGGAATAATCACGGCAGTAGAGAGGCACTGGTCATCTTTAACAACTTCGCTATTGCTGGATCCTTCCTAAGTCGTATCCCGGTACTGAGGGTAGTTATCCCCGTTTTGCCCCGAAGCAACATTTAAATTTCATCTATTATATAAGTACCGTCTTCTGTCTGTCTGTCTGTCTGTCTGACCGCAAACTACTCATTCGTTAGTGGACCGAATTTTTACCAAAAGTATATGAAATAGGGGTTGAATTTTCCTGGGAGTGTCATGATGTGTATAGTTTTTTGTTACCGATTTTCTAGAAACCGGTTTTTCTAATTTTTCTAATTTTTCGGGAAATAATTGACCAAATCTCAAAGAATTACTTATGAAACAGGGGTAGAATTTTCTGGGGAATGTTATAAAGTGTATAACTTTTTGTTACCGATTTTTTTGGAAACCGGTACCAAATTTTTTCCAATTCTTCGGGAATTAATTGACCGAATCTCAAAGAATTGTAAGAGTTCAAAATAATATTTACTCACGTTTTTAGTTGAAACAGCAAATATAATGTTGCAATATTCTAATACGGTGTTCAAACTGGACACGACTTGTGAAAATGATGGAACTACGCATCACCATAAAGCCAGTGACTGTCAAAACAATGGCTCATTATCGAATAATAAAATTTCAAAAAAATCCGATGGATAGCGCCAAGTGGGGGGGAAAATAAAGGGGGTACCCTGTTTTGCCCCACGTTCCCCTATCTAAAAAAGAACGCGTACACAACAAATATTATAAAGATCTAAAAAAGAACACGTTCCCAACTATAATAAAAGAACATTATTAAGAAAATCAGATGTTACTACTAATTTATCCTATTCACTTGATGCAAACTTTGGGATATTATTATAAATAGTTTAAAGAAACATCAGATGTTACTAATTTATCATATTTACTTGGTGCAAAAATTCTGATATTATTGTTTTTATAGCAAAAAATACAAATAAAATTATAACATCAAATATTATTTCAAGATTTTTTTTTAGTAATGAGTTTGTATAGAGCACGGTGCCACGGATATTTGGTTATTGGCGTTATTTACCCTTTTTAGAAAAATGTAGCTTTTGTACCGGGTGGTAAAAAATTATATGTCATGGCTTTGACAGATGATTCTCCAGATCGAGATCGGTAAAGATCTGAAAAAAGTTGCATCCGCAAAATTGATCTTGACCTTGAAATTTAAGGTCAAACTTTTTTATTGGCTTAAAAAATTCTGCTCATCAA